ACTGCAATAAACAAAAAAACAAAACAAAACAAAAAAAATAAAATAAAATAAATTTCTGTTGTTTAAAAAAAAAAAAAAAATCCTCCTGTGCTTGAGGCTACCAGCATGTGAAATTTCATGGAGGATTTTCCAGTTATTAACCGAGTTTCTGAAAAGTTTAACTGTGAAAACCTGTCACTCAAAATGCAGTGTAAACCACCTAAACTGAAAAAGAGTGGGATGAAGTGAGAAAACAAGATAACAATTTAAATGTAAAAGTTAGGGGAAAAATATAGCCATGCACCGCCCAACAACGTCTCATCAATGACAAACCACATATATGATAGTGGTCTTATAAGATTAGCACCATATAGCCTAGGTGTGCAGTAAGCTATATCATGTAGGTTTGTGTAAGTGCACTCTATGATGTTCGCACAACGATGAAATCACCTAATAATGCATTTCTCAGAATGTTTTACCACTTCAAAAACCTTTGAAGGGAAAAGCATTTTCATGCATATTTGGGTCTTAAAACATGGACTATTCCTTGGGTATTTCACATTACTGTTCAAATTAGAATAATAGAAAGTCTTTTCTTCCTTATGTTTGCATTTGCTTGTATTTATATAACCTATGTATGTAATACATACATGGTACTGTATATATCTAGCAATTATCTTTGACCTCAATTTGGCAGTCAGTACCTGCATTTTAACTTTTAACTTTTAACATTAAAACTTTTAACTTTTAATTTTAAATTTTAGTAGGCTAAAATAAGCAGATCTCACTAATTTTTGGCTTTATTCTTTGATTCATTTGGAATATTATTTAATCGACAAATATTTACTGATTATCCACTCTGTGCCAGGCATATTACAAGTGTTAACTAGCTTTCAATTTATAACATTTTTAAAAAACAATTAGTCCTGTCCAAGTTCAACAAAATAATTCACTAAAAGTTTTATCTTCATTTTAATAAGCTTTTAAAAAGTAACACTACTTTAAACCTACACATTTGGTCTTATCTAATAATTTGTGAATTGGTCAATTCTAACTTTATGTCTTCGTCACGTAAAGTTGGTATTGCAAGACCAGTGAGGGAGCAACAGTTAATTTCACACTGGGAAATTCGGAAGGGAGGGAAAGAGGGTGGGAGGTTCTTTCCTTCAAAGCTATGGTCTCTTCTTTGGACAATCACATAATTGTTGAATAGAAATCATATTAAATCAAACTTAATTTAATATTAAAATTAATAAAATGTCACTGGTAATCAGAAAAAAGGAATTCTAGAAATGCAACGACTTACTTAGACTGCTTAGCTGGCGGATGATAGCAGCAAGAGTACTGTTAGTTACACACTCAAGTTCACTGGTGATCCCCTCGGGCAGGGCTCCTCGGCACAAGTGCCGGGGTTCGATGTTCCTCTTCACTAAAGGCATGGTTCACAATCTGAAAATTAAAAAGACATGTTTTTAAAGCTCATATTCACATTTTAACAAATCTAGAGTTTTAATTCCCTTGAAAATTGAAAATTTGAAAATTCCCAGGAATTTTCATTATCCTATCATTTCTACATGAGAAAATCAGCTAGCTAAATATGCAATAGATGTTGAATTACTTAAATGAATTTTATAGATTTCAAAGACAGATGTACAGTACAATCCTACTTTTCTAAAAAATAATATATGCAAGATTTCCAGTCAAGCATGAGCGACTGAATACATGCATTTTTACCTTCCCTCCCTCCCCACTAAAATGGCAAGAGATAGAAAAGGCAGAAGCCCACAAGTACTAAGAGCAGGAGAGAACACAACAGCCCCACACTGTGGGCTGAGTCAGCCAGACTAAGACACAGAAAAGGCCACACATAGGCTGCAAGAGGGACTCGAGAAGTAAGCCCACCTGCACCACAGAACCTCTCCCAGAAAGGCTCAGGAATAGGAGGCACCCACATCTATGAAATGCGGGAGCAGGCAAAACGGAGGGGTACAAAAACAGGAGGACTGGCTTTTAAAAATCTGCTCATGAATTCCTTCTCCCTTCCTGTGCTATTCCTCCTCCACTGCACCCAGCATGCTTTACTCTCTGGAAAAGGTGAATTCGAAGATTAAGACTTGAGACACTAAGCACAGCTCAAGGTCAGGGTAGGAAATGCACTGAAACCAGGAGTATTAAGTCAAAGCCTATTCTGAATGGTAAGAGCAATCTGCTCCCCATCCCCACTCCCCACTTCCCTTCTCCACGTGGCTCCCTGAAACCTGGCAGCCTGTTTTTACTCCCTACCCAAAGAGACTGGAACATTTCTCCCTGGAGAATGTTTGAAAAGAAAAGATCTACAAACATTGACAGTGAGGCTGGGCGCTTCCCCCTACTGAAACTGCCAACTAGGTCATCCTACAGTAACATCTGTCAATAATCTCTCCCAACAGTTTTCCAATCAACTTTTAATGCCTTAAATAAGAACAGATAGTAAAGCATCACCAGACACTTCAGGAAAGCCTTCCTCATTATCCTGGGAACTACTTTCACCTCTCTCCTCAAAAAGTACATTATAAATAAAATAAGATCTCAACTTTTTGTTTCAGGAGGTATGTAGAGTTTCAAACCTACTACTCATGCAACAAATCTACTGCTCACGTAACAGTAGAAAATCCAATTATTAGGTGTCATCTTGACAAGATGATCATACTGCCCTACTTGCAGGAGCAGAAAATACAGGAAGGCCTAGGACTTTGGTGACATCTGTTAGCAGTCAAATCAGCCCTGAAATGCCAATCTGGAATTCTTGTTATGTGAGACAAATAATATCTTATTTGTTTAAACCACTCTAGTTGGGCGTTCTGTTTCTTGAAGTAAAACTTATTGCCAGCTGGTACAATAATTGAATGGTATACTGTATGGTATACTGTACCTAAAAGAACCTGGAATATGGTTAAGCATATAATAAATCTTTGTCTTTCTTCCTCCTTTCTTCAAACCTTTGTTCACGCACCCAATAAATACTTACTGAGCACCTACCACAGACCCAGCGGCATGCGAGGCGACAAGGACCCAATGGAAAGTGAGAGCAGACAAGGTCCCCCAATGGAACTTTATTCTACTGAGAAAAAGCGATAGGGATCCAACCACACAGGTTAATGGACATGGGGTTATGGAACCATTTGTGAGGGCAGAGTGCTGACCTCTTTGAGCAGTCATGGGCAGCCTCCCTGCGGACATGACTGCTGACCTGAAATCTGAAGGGTGAATTAGGGCTAACTCACAAAAGGTCCCGGGGCAGAAGTCGTGTGGGGAATGAAGCAGGGGAGGGCAAAAGTGGGTGACAGCTGTAAAGGAAAAGTTTTGTTCAATTATCCAATTTTTTTATGACTGTTTCTGCCTTATGTCCATTAAGGTGGTGGTTGAACACTGACCATGTCAGATTCAAATACTACCTCATCCACTGACTTAGGCCGACTGCCTATAGCACATCACTTCACCTCTCTCTGCCTCAGTTTCCTCTCTGTAAAACAGAGATAACAATAGTACCTACCTCACAGAGTGAGAGTGTAACGAGTTATTACACATAGAAATCACTTAGAACAGTGCCTGGCATATAGTAACATCCAAAAAATTTTATTTTATTAATTTTATTATATGTTATATGTTGTTATAATGTTAATTATTATTCCTACCATAGGAATAAAAAAGGAACAGTTTACTCTTCGAGGATAAGGCTGAACTACAGAAAACAGACAATATTTACATAAAATATCTGCATAAAAATTATGAAAAGAAGAGGTCCACCCCCAAGGAAAAAGTACTGAAACAGGAAAATTCTAGATCTACAAGTCTCTAGGTGAAAGTATAAAAGATTTACCATGAGTTGTCTTTTCCTTCTGGGAGAATCAATTAGAGCAATAGGATGGTAACTAATCACAACAAAATAAAGTAGAATGCCTCTTAAGGAAAAGAAAAAGAATAATCATTAATAAACTTAATGAAAGCATAAAGTGTGGGAAAGAAAAGTACTGACAAGTGATCAGTAAGGATTCACTCCATGAGAACTAGAAGGAAATCAAGCAACAAAAACCATGATGCCCATAAAGAAGCACAGAGCAACGCAGGGCGGAGGGTGCAATGGAAGGACAGGGGTGGCCATGCTTCCTAACATGGCCCAGGTGGGCTAACGACCCAAATGGACTGAAGGCTCTGAATTCATCAGCAGTCTGCTGGTGACGCTGGTTTGTGAAACTGGCCCAAGCAGGAATTAGCTTTTAAATAATTTCTCAAAAGAGGGTTTGGGATAAACATAAGATTTAGGAGCTGAATGCTGACTATGTATATAATAGTTCCCTTTTTCCACATTCATTTTGTATTTATTCAGGATGAAATGTCACTCTTTTCCCATATTTTTAAACCTGACACGCCCAGAAACTTGCCAGTACAGCATCTCCCCAGCCACTACCCACATGTCTATGGACCTACAAGTGGTCAAACACACAGAATCCTAATTATACACATACCACACAGAGGTCCCACCAGCATATTCAAAACATGGCCAATGCTAGTTAAAGACCTTCCTCCCCCTTTCCCTGAACTGAGCAGCTCCCCAATATCATCTCTTGATCTGTCAGCTTCACTATACCTCACATTTTCTATTAATACACTATATTTTAAAACAATAGAGAGGTCTGAGAAGGATTCAGAAGAAGTAACATGTCAGCTGTTCATTCATTTCTCCACTTATTATTCCAAGCAACTTGCAGGAGTCTATGTGCCTGCTACCAGGCCAGCAATGATGGTTGTCTTTTCTCCCAAAGTGGACTATGAACTACCCGAATTTAGGAACTGAGTCTACGAATTCTGTGTTCCCCACAATGCCTTTCACGGTCCACAACAAACTTGACCATTCAAAAAATGTCTGCTGATTATATACCCACATAATATACATAAGTTTTTCTATTCGGCCTTCTCTTTGGGCACTTCACGTGTTGTTCCAGTATTTTAGCTCTGACTAATTAATCTTAGCCTTCATTTCTCACTATCGTTATACCTTTATCTGGAGCTCCCACACTTGTCTAAATACAAAGGACAACAGAGAGGACATGCTACTGTCTTCACAATTTTAGAAAAAGGGTTTTGTAGTTCTTTTTTAAAGTTCTAATCACCTAGCAACGACTTGCACGGCTTTCCAATTCAATGTGAAGTACTCTAACAGATGTATTTTTTCCCAGATAGCCTTTATGTTATCTGACACTAATCCAGGTTTGAATAAACTGAAGAGCAAGAAAGAGGTAAAGGAGAAAATGTTGGGTCAGTCATTACTCTTGAAAATGCTTTGCAATTACAAAACAAACATATAATGAACTAACCCAATTAGTTACCAATGAAATGCTTAGTATGCCTCTCAGTTCCTTCATCAGAAGAACTATGACCCATCCAACTCATTCTTCAAAGTCATTCTATATGCTAAGAAAAAAAAATCAACGATTGCTAATCAAACATTTAAGGATTATTAGAGGTTACATAAAGTAGTACTGTTAAACCTGTAGTTTGCCCAACTTTTATAGGAAATGTCTCAATTTAGAGAGACACAGCCTGGTTCACATAACTGTGAACTAGATTCAAGACACAGCTGAATCCAGGCCAGAGTCCTTCCCTAGGAACTTGGATGTGGAACCATGATATCCAGATTGGTTGCCACTCTCTTGAATAGCAGAGATGGATAACTCTTTCATCACATGAAATGGAGACTGATAAAGTTTGTCAGCAGCATGAAATTAGAATAACTGAGAGAAACTGGCAAAGACAAGAGAAAGACAATGACTCCCCAAAGGCTTTGCCCAATCTCCCTTGGACCACGGAAAACTAAGAGAGACACTGCTCCTCTCTCCCCTTCACTAGGGGTCAGACTTGCATCTTCCAGCCTTTTCTTGCTTCCTCTCTATTTCCTTTCACACAGGCATTTCCCCTAATCAAATCCTTGCAGGTGTGGATCCCATCTTGACATGTGTTTCTGAAAGAACCTAGTGGCCCTCAGAGTGATCTGAGTAAACAGGTGGTAAGACGAGGATTCAGGACTTGCTCATGTACCACTCTGCAAGTGAAAAGGATGCTGTCCTAACTGATAGTCCCTGCTGCAGGGTCCTGGTCTAATTACTACAGATTTCACTGGTAGTGATGTGGAAGATGTGCTGGTGGAAGAAAATGCCGTGATAGGCATAATAATGCAGACACCTGGAAGATAGAGAAGGAAAAACAGCTAGAAAAACAACAGAGTTGACTAGTTACTGCTAGGGTGTACTGACGCCCTGCAGAAGGATAATGAGATACTGAAAGCTGTTAGCACACAGTTAATAGTTAAGTGTGAGAACATCAGAGCCTTCCTGGTGGGTCCTCATCATGACCTGTAATGGAACTGCAGACCCAATTATGAGAGTTACAGAACTCAAAACATTTGAATGCTC